TAAATAAATAAAACACACAATAAAAAATAAAATAAAACATTTTTTTTAATTATACAAATCAAGAAAAAACCATTTTTTCGGTTTTTCATTGAAACATTTCCTTTTCAATAATATTTTTACAGTGAGTCGTTTAAGTAACTAGAGTAATACTCTAATAGCTAGAGTATTTTGTTAAGTATATTGGAATATATTGGTGGCATAGTCGTATATATTTGTTTATATTCTTCTTGTAAACAACTTCGCAATCTCCCCCTAGATATTTTATATCATCAATACCATTCACAATCATTTTGAAGACAGATTCTAGCTTTGGAATTGCTTATGTATTCCTCGTTTCAAACAAAAGAAATAAAACCAATTCAAATATGTTCATTTGCTTTTATGTTTATTGCTTTTACATGTTCAGCACAAACGAGTGATTTATTTCAATGTAAATCATACAAATTACACGAATCCACGTAATTTAGTAGGGACAATTTTCTGAATCAACTTCGATAATGCCAAGCCGATGAGACGAACTATTCTTTCAAAGAGCTCTATATATTTGCTTATGATGTTTTGCTGGAAAGAAAAATTGTCAAAAATGTAATAGTGTTCAAAAACAAACAGGACACATGATCTCTTAATAAATGAATGCTAAAAATAGAACAAAAATTATGAAAATTAAGTGATTTTATTATTAACATAAAATATTTTTGATAATTTTGATTGATTGGCATTTTTTTCCGATGCTAGCTAACTAGTGCTTGTCAGCATTCATAAAGATACACCCACAAAAGACAATCAAAACAACCAAAACGATTGCCAAACCAAAATAATACAGGCTATAATTTTCATAAAAATCAACCATGAACTGATATTTGAGAAGCAAACAAAAAAATGACATTGCAAAGACGACAACACATATCAATGTAAACGATGCCAGTGTGGTCATTACCAGTGTTTTGCTACATGTTTCTGTGATTGTAAAATTCCGGTTGTTTGGGGAATCTGGAAATTCAGCATCTGGGCGAGAATGATGAAAAATGTGACTATTGAAATGTTGCTCAATCTGTAGTTTGAAATCAGTCGATGCCTCATCAATTATATGTTCTGGGCGGCCTGACTTGAAGAATCCCTCGAACTCATTCCAATCGTTGTTGACCATGTTAATAAACCCGTCCGTGTAGTCCCTGTCACTATAGTATGAAAACGGAATGGATAACAAGCAAATAAATGAAAATGAGAATTTGGCAATGGAATCGATTGAAGAAAAAACAGACACATGAAAATAATTAAAAAAACAGACATTTGTTTATCTGTTTATCTCTTACTGCAACGATCTTAGAATTATTCCGTCGACTGGCGTCTTATCAACTGCCCAGCAAATCGTCATCAATCGGTACATTTTTTCGATTAGTTCGTTGATTTGATTATTTTGATATGACCGCTTGATGTACAACGACTTATTTTCATGAATGGTCACCAAAATTGAGGTAAACGTATCAATGGCATTTCTGTAGCGACTCATCATCATATAAGAGAAACCAGCATAATACGACGTCAAGACTTCAAAAGCTGGTATCGGTGTGTTTTGATCCTTCTTGTGAATATTAATCGATTTCAACAAATTAATTGCCTTTTTATAATCACCACACAACGAATGTAAGCGCAACATTTCAACCAAACTAAAATAGTGCAGCGTACTCGCAACTGACTTGGAATCGATGTTGGATGAATGCGTTAGAAATTTGCTGTATATATCAGAAAATGTATTTCTCGCATCATCACGCCCGTTAACCTCAATATATCGAGACACGAAAGTGTCGATTATTTGCCATAGCCAATCGTCTGGCAGTTTCAATTGAACGGGTTTCGATGCCTTCGCAATCAAATCAAAAAATTTGCGACAGTTTTCAAATGCAGACTTGTGGTCCTGGTTTGGTAGTGACGAGATGTGCGTATATGCATGACGCTGACGTAATTCTTTGCAGAGTATAATTGACAATTTGTCTTTACCAAATTTTTTGTCATCCGGCCAATGACTTTTTACAAAATATGCATTGTTCAGCAACAAAACCGTGCGCTCGTAATAACCCAGAATTTCGCTGTCATTTTTATTATTTAATGCATTGAATAGTTTTTCAATGGTGGGTTTGAGTTGGTTATCCTAGAAATTTAAATTTAAATTCCCGATTAAATGAATGCTTATACGACACATCAAATTCAGACCTATAGAATATTCGATGAATTTCTAAGAATGTCAGCAATCTAATTATTTAAAATTACTCACCATATTAGAAAGTTCCATTTGATTGTTCGATTTTCGCTTAATTCTCGCTGCAAATTTATTTAATTTACTATACACAGTCTGTAAATAGTGCAAAAAAAAAATTGTGTCGATGACAATAGACTTTTTTTGCATAGCAATTGAAGTTTGGCCCGACGCCATATTGAATCTTTCGTATGCTGTTGAAAATTATTGATGGCGCCACTTATTATAGTGCGATACGAAAAAAAAAACACTTCAAAGGAATGTAAAATTTATGGAACAAAGAAAACGGAAAATTTCGCTGGTGAAAATAAAAAAAAGATAAACATTCTTCTGATTGTTTGACCAAAAGAAATAAACTGAAATAATAATAATTTTTTTGTTTCCCTCAATGTGTTCGTAAACATTTTATACACGCAGAATTTTTTTTTTTGCGTATGTGTGTGTGTGTGCACTAATACTAAGAAACGTGGATTAAACCGCCAATTTCATACTACTTGTATATATAAATAGATATATTTTGTAATTTTATATATACGTCTATTAAAACTGTGCTAAAAATGATTGATTTTTTTTTCTTTGTTGTATTTTCCCCAAATCGATATACCATCCGACGCACACACTTAAGCGCATATATATTTGAACGCATACACCGGCAGTTTGTATCATTATTACACACATGCGTTTGACGTTTTCGTGTTGACACTAGTCTCATGTTTGCATCGATAACTATGTTTGATTTGCTTCAGCTGTCATTTGTACAGCACGCAATACCAGCCGATTTCGATATTTTTCGATTAATCTGAAATAAATTATCTTATCTTTTAACCACTTAAAAAAATCAAGACAGCGTAAAACCAATCGTGTATGCAACGAAATGTAGTTTCATCGAAATAAAATTGTGATAAATTGTTACCTTTATCCTATTTTTTTAAATAAAAAAAAATCGATTGAATCTGTAGTAGTGCAAAATTTCATATTTCTGTAAAATTTATTTGCTGCTCTCGACCTCATTTACAAATTCAAAAAATCATCTAATTCTAATTATAGTAAATTATAAAAATAGTACACTACGAGTTATTGTAGTAGTCTCTATTTGAATTGATAACTGCAGTGCTTTATTCAGTCAGAATGTGTCATTCTAAAGTCATTTGTAAAGGTATGAAAAAGTGAAGAAAACATTTTTTTCAATCAAACCGCCTAAAAAAATACTTGATTTTTTTTTATAATGTGGATTTGTACAGTTTTGATTAGATAAATGTTGCCCGGAAAATATTTGGCCACAATGCGATCGATCATTGGATTGATGAATTAATTGATTGTGATTCGATGTATAATGGATTTAATTGATGAAAGTGATGATGATGCCGGTAGCGATACATCGACGCAAGAAAGTTGTACGCTAGTACGAAATGACAGTGTGAATAAAACGGATGCAATTAATCGTCGCATTTCAAATTATATCGGCGATTCAAGGCATTCCGCCGAATATAATAATTTCGAAATGTTGCCATCGCATAAATTATCACGCCGAAATAAATATCTTAAGCTATTTCTGTGTATATTTGGATTTTCTTCTACGCTGATAATTTTGTCACAAATTTATTTATCGCTTTATTTGGATGGATCTGCGTTTGGATGTAAGTTTTTTTTCTTATTATTATCTTCTCTTTTTTTTTGAATGTTCATTTTATAACATAGAAATGAATAACAAAACAAAAAACTTATGCGTTTTCCAGTAAATTTGTCAGTTTCTGGATGGGATCGAAACCAGAGCCGAAGTATACCATTTTATATTCTGCCCGATGAGAATACCACCATTTTAGAACCATCGTCATTATGTAAAGGAAATTCACCAATTTTGCTGCTCATCGTAATTTGTTCATCGGCTGACAATTTTGAAATAAGGTATAGTATTAATCAAGTATACCATACATCCAATAACCACGTGCTTCTATTAAATGTTGTGCTAATTGGTACAGACAAACATTGCGAGAAACGTGGGCCAACACCAGCGAATTCAATTATTCAAAATTTTCATCGCTTCATTCACACCTCAGAGGAAAATATTTACCGATTAACTATCCTAATTGGAGGAATTATACAGTATCTAACTATAAGGTAGCTCAAATAAAATTTTATTGCACATAACTTTTTATATGGGCGTTTGCGTTTGAATTGTTCTAATTTACATCATTTTTTAAAATTTTTGATAATTTTTATTTCTAACACAAAAACATATTTCAATTTTTAAATGCAATAGGAGTCTTCCGATAGTGCAAAAGAAAAAAATAGTGATAACATTTATGATGAAACTAGTCATGTAGACTTCCAAATACGAACCGTCTTTCTTATCGGCCAAACTGAAAACAATGAAACCCAGGATCAAATTCTTGAAGAGAGTCGCATACACAACGACCTTATTCAAGAAAGTTTTTTAGATACCTACAATAATTTAACATTAAAAACTGTTATGATGTTGAAATGGATCAACAATAATTGCGTTGGAAAAGGTATAAACAAACAAACAATGGAATTTGATTATCGTAAAATGATTTTAAAAATTAATATCATGTGATCTTTTCTTTTCTTCTAGTAAAATTTTTAATGAAATGTGATGATGATACGTTTGTTCATGTACCGAATTTGATTCATTTTCTACTTGGTGGCACAGTCCCCGTGTATAATTATACACTTCAGCGATATAATCAAAAAACGATACGCACACTATCCGCCGCAAATCGACTGCATCAGTATGAAAATCTTCTGATTGGCACTCGATTTTGCAAGTCAAAGCCAATCAGAGATTTTCGAAGTAAATGGTAATAGAATGTTTAAAAACAACAAAAACCAAATTAAAATTCAACTGTAAATGTTCGATAGGTTCGCGCCACGATACATGTACGATAAGACAAATTATCCAAACTATTTATCTGGTACTGCATATGTGTTCACAATGGATGCTAGTGAAAAATTATACAATGCATCGATGGTAATGCCAATATTACACTTAGAAGACGTTTATTTGACAGGTAAGTTTTTTAGGTTTAGACAATTTGTAAATAAATATACCATAAATTCCTAATATTTAGGTATTTGTGCTGAAAATGCAACTATCACACCGCAAGATCACCCGCTATTCAATTACTTGCCTTATAGTCATTTATGTGAAGTGCGAGGTAATACGTTTACATAAACATTTAACATATTCAATGATTTAATGATTTTGTATTTCAATTATTCAATTAGGAATGATAACAGTACATGAAATCAAATCAATTGCAATGCGAAAAGCCTATAACTTTGTTATGAAATCGAATGTTACCTGCTCAGGACCGGGAAGAAAAGCGACAGTTCGTCCATTAAAAAAGACCTATTGTTAAGTATAAGTACTAAGACTTTTATTTGTTTATGTATTTAAATTAAAAAAAAAAATGGTCTTATAACAGTAGAAAAATGCCAAATTTCAGAGGAAACGAGACAAAACACTTTAAACCGTGCATTCCAACTGACTGATATCAAAAGTAGCTATTAATTATTATTTTTCCTTAATTTAAGTTATTTGCCAATTTGCCAGCTATTATTTTTTCTTCTTCTATATGAAATCAAATCCTCATGGTATACTGTTGGATATGCAGCATTTTTAAGCTCTGTACGCCAAGTATACAGATTCTCCATTGATACATATATTTGATTTATATTTTATTTATATTTACGTTGCACATTTTCGATAAAATGATGTTGTCTTCTTCAGATTATATTTAAATAGTATAAATATGTTGTTACCAAAAAGTGGCATTGACACAATTTAATATGTGCCAATACAAATGTAATATGATTGTTCAATGTAGAAAATCACATTCAATTTAAATGGCGAAAATGATAGCGACGAAACGATTATATCCATGATTACGTAATAAACGTGCTGCTGTATCTTCTATCAAATCATTTTTTTTTTCTAAATTCCATCACTAGACTCACTTCGCACGATTGTTTGGCGTAGACTTGCACAGTAGTTTTGTAATATGTCTGACACTGCAAACATGCACAAACGAATTAACCGCTATATATCTCATTAACTTTGTGAATTCAGAGACAAATGTAAAAGGTCACAGAAGAATTTGAATGGATAGGATTCTTCAATTTCTCAAAATACTTAATAAATCAATAGATTCCAAGTGAATTTCACAAACTAACCAGATTAATGACGCTTATATGATGTTATGAAAAAAGTATTTTAAATTGTTAGATTGACGACAATTGATGCCAATTTTTATTTAAATAATTTTAATGATTTACCATATTTATTTATTGGAATTAAAAAAAAAACAACAAATACAAATAAAATAAGTGTCTATTACGAAGCACATTAATTTGTGTGTATGTGTTTAAAATTACCACTATTTAAATTGATTTGAATAATTTGATGTGTTCATTCAATCGGACGAATTGATTAAGCACATTAATTTGTGTGTATGTGTTTAAAATGACCACTATTTAAATTGATTTGAATAATTTGGACGAATATAATGTATTTTCGAATTGAATAAAAAAACCCGAAGAGAGAACTATTTGTATTATTTAAATGTTTTTTTTTTTTCAGTTTACAGCTCGAATGTATTAAATTGAACAATAGACTCCGGTAAGTAATTACATCAGATCAAGAGTTTTGAGGGGGAAATCGATTTTTATGAATTACCTTTGTACTCAAATTTTTTGTTTCATGAGTTAGAACCAGTAAAAAATTAAGAAAAATTACAACAATTAATTATTTTCCAATCGTTTTTAATCGTTTATTTTTTTCTTCTTTTTTTATTTCATAATTTCCGTTCGAAATTTCATATACAGTTTCGTGATTTTTATATATAATATGTTATTTTAAATGCAAATATTCCATTTTTATCTATCGCTGAGATGCAAATCGAAGACGATTTCGTTGATGTGCTAAAATAAAATCGAGACCGTTTTCCTGTATTCATATCAATATCAATTTTGTGTTATATACCGTAAATGTGTTTGTATGCTGTTGTATAATAAAGAAAATATACTGCAGAATATACTAAAAGAATGGGACTAGATTTAATCAGAAAAAAAAGAACGAAAAAGCTGTATATGTACATAATTTGTATGAAACTATTTATGTGCTATTTCAAATGACTGAAAGCGTTTGTTTCATCTACTTGAGCATGTGAATATGTGTTTGGTTTTATTTGCGCTTGGATATAAACATGGCCTGTTTTCTCTCTTTGTGTGTGTCTCTCTCTCTCCATATATATATATATATTGTTTATATAATTTTATCGTTTATCGTCGTCATTATTAAGTTCTTATCATTGATATCAATTTATCTCGACAGCTTCAGATTGTTGTATACATGATCGAAACGTTTTCAGATTTTGTTTGTTGCTTTCAGTTGATGAAATCAATGCTTGTGTCTGTCGTTCTTAGATTGTATTGTTAAATACATACATACATATATATAGAATTGTATTTAAAGCTAAAAAAAAAATTCTATGTACAATGTCCTCCTTGAAAAGAAGCTGATGCCACAAAATCGTTAAAAAATGCGCTATTATAAATGTTAAGTGCTTTGTATCGGTGTATTTTCACCAATAGTATGAAATCGGTCTGGTTACTCGGTCGTTTATTTCGTAGACCGTTACCAAATTATCCGAATAGCCACATGCGATATGGCCTTTGAGCGGATGAAATGTTAAGCAAGAAATATACTTTCGAGATCCTCGATAGCCACTGTCGCTGCCACAGCGTGTACGATTCAATTCTTGTCCATTATAATGATAAAGTGTGATTGTTGATTCGGCGCCAATTGCAACAATATTACTATACGGATAGACAGCCATTGCACTTGCTTCACGATTTATTTTCCATCGTTCCATAACACGATTTGTACGAAAATCAATGCAAACACATTCGCCATTTCGACATCCCGTAAATAATGTACCGGTTTCGGTGATCATTGAACATTCAAGCAAACGTTCATTATGCTCACGATATGTGTGAACAATGGATGATTCGACATTACATCTTATGTCGATGATTTTGCAGCAGCCATCATCAAAACCGGCAACCGTTAAACCTTCATTTGATGTGCTGAGTACACGTACAGCTGCCTCACTATCGGTCGGTATTTCAGCCTTTTTCATTTCAGTTTCTGGATCCCAGAAACGAATACTCTTCGCATTGCTGCCACTTACAATGACATTATTCATCGGTTGATATGTTGTAATTAGGCCACATGTGTTTGTTGTGCGATTTGCATTGGTAACATCGCTTATTGCTTGGAATCCGGTGATAAGTGTTGGTTTTTCTCTATGGTCTGTCGGTGGTTTCCAAATGCGAATGCATCCATCATCATGTCCGATTAGAACAAGAGCTCGTGTCGATGGATTTATAAATTCAAACGATGTCACTTCCGAATTTTGTGTATGCCGCCAATGCATTGGAATGTTAAGCGGTATTTCAGCCGGTGCATACGCATGAATCAATTTACTATTTCGATCGTTTACCATAACCTTATCTTTATAGGCAACAGCACTTTGCTCTTCAAACGGATGAAAACGGATTAGATTTGGTGTGCTTTGTGTTTGAGCACACCACAATTGTGACAAATACAATGTGGACACACCATTTTGAATTGTATACTCAATATCACGCACCAATTTCGGATCTAAATGTTTGCAACGTGATTTTGTAAAGTATTTTTCATGTTTTTCACCCATATTGGTGACATTTGCCGAACTCCATGAAATATAATTGGTCGTTACAATTGGCTTTGGTTTCATTGGATCTTGATTTTCATCATTTGATGAACTTCCCGATGTAATATTGATGTCAGCATTTATTGTTGTATTGACTGCCGTCAAATCGGTTTCAATGCGTGAATTTTTACGCGAACGATTGCCCGATTGTGAACGATCCAGAATCGGTGTTGTGCTTCGTGAATTGTTTCGTTCAATTTTTCCATGAATCTCGATTCCATGACGACTCAATGACAAATTGGCTACCGGCGGCGAATTGCCACCAAGATAATTAACTCTTGTATTTGGGCTTGGTGGCAAACTCAATGAATATGTCTCTTTTTCAGCCTCTTTTGCTGGATTTAAATCGACAATAATATACATCACAATTTCCTTGGCCATTTTTACAACGTCCGGACATGGATCGTGGCAAAATGATAACAAGCCACGCCATAGCTTTATGTAAATTGAATTGAATCCCAAGGCAGTCGTGCCTATGTTCAATATTGAATTTGAGCTTGATACACGCTTTATTCGTTCCCAACTATGCGTATTCGGAACATTATTTGTATTTGAATCTTGTGTTGATGCTGCCATGAATACATTCAAAAATAGCATAACGATCCATTGTAAGGCAGCCAAAAGTTCCATTCTCACGATTGGGCTCATATCATTGCCAACCGTTGAGAATAATGTTAATGCAATGCTTCGATCTAAATTATTTGCGTGCTCGGTGCGATCGGTTTTTTGTGAGCTTATGAATGTGCCTAATGCATATACAGCCGCTGCTCTCACTTCAGGTACACTGTCCAACAACAGCGGATATAGTTTTTCATGTGCCAAATCCCTAACGCCCGACCATCTAGCCTTGTCATAATTTTGCCATAAATGACCCAAACAGATGGCCAACCATTGGCGCAACGATGCACATCGGTCGTTTATTTGCTCCAAACATATTGAAACTAACGATGATTGTAATGCACTCGCTTGACCCATTGGAAAATTATGAACGATGGACGCAAGCACAAATGCAGCCAATGTACGATAATTTGGTGTAATTATTGGATCTTGTAACACAGATAAAAAGTATTTTTGACCTTGATCACACACCAAGTCCACTTGACATGTCACATCAACGGCCAAAATTTTTGCCCAAATAAAAACTAATAGTGGCCGCAATTCCTTGGCCGATGCTTGCAATAACTTCAATACATATGGGAAAATTCCAACGCTCAACGCCAAATTTACGGCCCATGGTCCTAAATCTAAAAATCGTCCAAGCAATTCCAAGGCACGTAAGCGATGTACTTGTGACAACAACACTTGTAGAACTGCGAAATAAAAAAATGGAAACGTTTTTTTTTAAATACTGAAAAAGAAAAGGAAAAAATGCTTGAATTTACCAATCGGAAGTTGTTCGGGTGGTTCACGTTCTTCGTTGCCGCGCTCAAGCCAAACATGAAAAGCGGTTAGCTGATCTTCGAAAAATGGTGAATTCTGGTATGGTGCATTGCGTTCAACGATATCGGGCAGTTGCTGCAATGCCAAATCAATGGCCAAGTCCCATGCTTGCCACATATGATGCCGATAACCATTGGGAATTTGTGGACTAGAAACTGGTGTACAATCGTACGAACGCATTATCCTTTCAGCCAATAAAAAATTACGAAACAAACTAGCCACCAACAGATCTTGACGAAATAGACGCTGAAAGAGATCTCTTGGTAGTGTATTCCATGCAATTGTATCAGTGATTGCTGTAAAAATCCAATTGAGTTCGCCAAGCATAGTGCGTCTGTCGTTCAATTGACCTGGTATGCGATCAATTAATTCCTGGGTAAGGTGTGGCACCAGCAATGATGTTTTTTGTAACATAAACCATTTTAGTGCGATTTTAATCGGTGTAGTTAGGCAAGCAGTAAATAAATCGGCCGGCAATTGTGGATTCATTGGTAATATTTGATCTTCACTGCATGCAGCCAGTTGAATACAATTACGAAATGAATTAAATGGCTGTGTACTGGGCGATGCATTCAAATTTCCGGTACTCGATGCAATTTGCTCAAATTCACGTTCATGTTGTTCGGCAAATTGAATAAACCATTTAACAATGATGCCAGCATTCGAGCAATCGTATACATAAATCGATGGTGATCCCATCCAAGATTGTAAATCATAAATCGACAATGGAATATATTGTGTATATGTGCGATTAAATACCCAAATTTCACCGTTCAGTGTTGGTCGCGGTACACCATGACCATTGTAATGAAATAAAACCCGTTCCTCTTTTGCATTGCGACGCAATGAAACGCACAATTTTTTCACATCTTCAACGGTTGGATCAAGTGATTGCTTGTAACGGGCCCGTGGTTGCCAACGTTCGTATTGTTTTTGTAAATTGGCGCCGATCAATTCGAGCGCCTTCTGCGGTGACATTGACGATGGATCAATCCAGCATTCTAATCGGGCACAAGGTGTTATTTTAAACACATCTGGTGGATCAACACCAACATTTAAACATACAACCAATGCCACGCTCACCGTTTTCATTCGATCCCGTATACGCCACGATTTCGATATATCAACAATTTCTTTTTTGTTTGTTGCATGCCTTCGTCGATCAAAAATGTCATTTTGAATTTTAAACTTTTGAATGATATCGTTGATGGATGGCTTAAAAAAATTCTCTTTTATTATTATCTTTCCTTCCATGATGATGTTGATGATGCCTCCTTTTCCAGTCGTCCAGACGTCCACCCGTTGTTGTCCACAACCAATTTTCAGTCGTGCTGGTCAATTTTCACCAAACAACTCGTTTTTCACCACAACGGTGAAATTTTCCACTTTCAAATGTAGAGCAGTTCAATTGATTTTATTGTGTCGTGCTTTTGCAATTGATTCGCTTTTGATTTATTATACAACGCAGTTGAAACCGAGCACATTGCCAGAACATTTGCGTATTATTTTCGTTATGATGAATGATTGTTTGCCGACATTTGACAATCCTGCAATAAAAATTCATTTAATTTCACACTTTTTCACATTCAAGATTTTTCTATAGAAAAAACTAACACTTGAATTCTAAATGCCACACAATTCACGAAATGTACCTTTTGAATTATACGAAATTTTCTCTCACACAATATAACTTTACTTTAAATAACATGCAATGCAATTACGAATCGTGATAGAAAAAGAAAAATAAAAATGGATGGTTATTTGACACTTCTATCATAATTGGTTGCGTTCAATATTTCCACGCGCTTAAGTACTTAACGTACTTAAATCATTAGCATGTTTTTTCCACTTTTTTTTCAACTTTTTTCACATTTTTTATCTTGAAATTGTTTCGATTTAGATTTGAAATTATTTTCGATTCATTTGCCTAAGTTGCAGAAATTATTTAACTGCAATGTTTCTGTTTCTGCATTGTCGGCTCCATTCAAATGTTATGACATGCATGTGTTGTTAATGTCTGAGTATGTGTGACATTTGTGCACAGCCATGTGCCAGCAAGCTTTTAACTAACATTAGCTCAATACAAATTGAACTGTCAATAACACATCAGAAAATAAAGAGAATAAAGAAAACGGAAAAAAGAAAAATAATAATACAACTAGTTCAAGTTGCACATAAAAAGTGAAAGCCACACAAAAGGTGGATTTGTAGAGTATAAATCATGAGCGAGGTAAAATTATCAGCAGAAGTTGTTTAGTTTTTGTTTATTGTTTTTCAAAGTTTATTTATAACAAAGTTAATTTTCGGTGTGCATTTATCTTAGGATCATGATAATGATGACTATGATCGAGAAGATTTGGAGCACGTGGAAAATTTACTCTATGCAAATATTCATTATAATACGGGATACGATGAAAATCAATCGACTGCATCGAATAACGGTAACAATGATGATAACACACTGACTGAATTGGACCGATCAAATGGTTCAGCGGCACGACGAAATGCCAAACGATACTGGAGCACAAATACCCCAAACAATAGGGCTGCATCGAATTTTAAGCCATTTCACAAGGAAAAACAGTCGGGTACTTACATAAGCATTTCACTTTCATTTTCACGTTATTTTCATTTGATTTCATTTTTTTTTTAACTTATCTCTAGGCATTTACAAAACGGGTAAAGTTACGACCAAAGATGTGAATGAAAGCGCACCTGATGATGCCAAAAATAATGAAAATCGTGATGGTATCAGTAATGCACCAACAACTGTTACACCCAAACAATTTACACCGTACATATCGTTTTTACCATTTAACGATTCCACTGCTAATGAAGAGCAAACGCAATCACCATCACCATCACCGGTGGCCAGTACAAGTAAACAAAGTGAACCCAAATCAACTGTATTGAACACAAATAATGATTTGATTCGTAAAAATTTAACAGTCACACACATAAATCCATTCAGCAAAAAAGGCACGATTGAACAATACAAAAATTTATTAAGCGAAGATGATTCGATCGTAAGTGTAGCGAATAAAACTCTTCTAAATAAAAAACGATTGAATCCGTTCAATCCACTGTCGAGAAAGGCGAAAAAGAAGAAATCAGATACGAAAAGTGTACGCAAAAATCGCGAAGAGTTAAAACAACTGGCTGCAAATGCCGACGTTATCGATGTAGACGATGCAGATAAAGATGATGACGATGTCATTATACTGCCAACACAGAAACCACCATTGATTTGCCTTGACAGTTCGGACGATGAAGAAAGCAATGCAACTAATGTCGCAGAGCATGCATTCACCGAACCAAATGCCGTTAGTGATAATCGTCGTAAAATGCCACGCTGTTCAAGCCCATCCAGTTCAATTCAATCGACCGATGATTTTATTGCACAAAATGACCAAAGAACATTTGGCTTTGACACATTTGCAACACTTTCGGATGAAGATCTTTGTCATGTGAGTGAAACGGTTGAAAATCAATTGACTCATAACAAAACGTCAGAAAGTACATCAAGCAAACGAACGCCCATTCCAACTAATAATGACAATGCGATTTTCACACCACCAAAACAAATGCAAAAAGATAAAAACAAAGCCAAGAAATCATATGAAGTTGGTGCCAACAGTTTTACTGCCGTCGATGTATACGAATCGGAAAGTTCAGATATGCCAGATTCAATTTATGCAAAAGGCACATCGAATAAACGAAAGAAATTGTCTGATTCGGATAGCAGTAGTGTGGAAAGTATAACGATTCCAAAATCGAAACGTTTGCGAAAACGAAAAAAGAGTTCGGGCAGCGCTAAAGAATCGGATCACAAATACTCCGATGAATCTAGCTCCGATTTACCCGAAATGGATGATGACACCGATGACGATGAGGACGAGGTGTCGAATGAAATTTCATATTTGGTGCGTGGTGAAGCGCTTGGAAAAGTGAAAAATTCCAATAAGAAAAAATCGACAAAGCCCAATAAAAACACGAACGAAAACCGATCGGAAAATGATTTTATAAATAAATTGTCGAGCATCGTTCGTGGTCAAGATGAAAGTGACAATGATGAACTGGAAAGTACACAAGAAACACCAACTGAAACGATTGAGGCACGTGACATTGTTGAAACTGTGTTGCAACGCAGAACAAAGAAATCGAAAAAGAATCAAACTGTTGAAGCCGAAACTGTTGCACCAGAAAATGAAAAAACGAACCCATGGGAGGTTACGGATCAAGTAGGCGAAACGGACGATTTGAATTTGGGTCGAATATTTACGGATATTAATGGTGAAAGTGATCAAGTGGTATCGGATGACGCAAAATCGGAAAATACAAAATCAGACTCGGCACAAAAAACAACACCAGCAAATGAATCAAATGAAAATGTGACCGAAAATGAAACTAATCAAAATGAAGATGACAGCGAAGTGTCTGAGTTTGATCTAGAAAGTGGGTGGAATGATGAGATGAGACGATTCTACAATGATTCATGGGGTGGTGAAACGTTCAGCATGAGAAACATTCGTGCTCGAATGCAAAGTAAGTGTTTTTTTTCGTCCATTTTTACATGGAACTTTTGACCCAATTAATTTACGGTTTTTGCTCTGTTTAAAGGAGGCTACCTCAACTGGATGATTACAAACAAAGATAAATTTCCAGGGTCCAGTTATAATAGGGGTCGTCAATATCGTTGCCTAAATTGCCAGGAAAAGGGCCATTTGGCCAAAAACTGTCCACGACCACCAGCAAAAAAGATTTGTCACATGTGCGGTGTGGAAGGTCATCTTGAGCCAAAGTGCCCAAATACAATTTGTCTAAGCGTGAGTTTCAATTTATTTTGATTTTCGATACTTTGCATTTGTTTTCATTCTATTCATATAAAAAAAAAATATTTTTCATTTGACACAGTGTGGTAATAAGGCACAACGATATTTTCGGGGTTGTCAAAATTGTTCACGCGAACGAATGTTGGTTTGTTTTGGATGTAATCAAAAAGGTCACCGGGAAATATTTTGTCCAGATCGATGGCGTAGATATCATTCAACGGTAAGTATCACATTTTTAAATAAATTTTCCAAACAAATGCAGTGAAAAACATGATCGAAAAAATCTTGTTTCTAATTTACAGACTACCTTAGATCAGCCATTGGTTGAAGAGCCAAGGTCATCGAAAAATCCGCCAAAGCGCAAATATTGTTGCATCTGTGCCACTGAAGGTCACTACGCCGATACATGCAAAAAATCAAATGATATACGTGGTCGATGGCCAACAAAATGGAATGTACATATAAGCAGCTATCGTCCATTATTATTTTCGAAAAACCAGGATCAACAGATGAAGCCGAAATACACAATCCTAGCATCTGACTTGAATGATTATGGTTTTAACTTTGGAAACGAGGTAATAACGACTGGAAATACATTCTATAACCGATTCCAACGGGCAGTCAAATTAGATACAAATCTGAACAAAAGCACATCTTCCGAAAATGATGTGCTGTTTGTGAATGAAACGAATTTACACAGCACCAATGGTCCTACAATCGAAATTGTTGATGATGCTGATTTCGAAATGTCGGGACTTGAAGATGTTAGTGCTTCTGAGGAATTTTCAGAAAATACACAAGATGATAGTTTCATGACCATCGACGACGTGCAGGATGAAGAAGACAAAGAAGCCAAAGAAGAACATGAAGTTGAAGAGCTTACAGTTTCCAATGAAACGGAAAATGCTCAGCCCAAAAACGATAATACTGTGGTTTCAGCCAAAAAAGATGTTGAAATTGAGATATTGAATGATAAAATCCACACTCTTGAAGAACTACGAGAGAAAATGTTGTTGCATAAGTCAAATGCTGTGGAGGAAGATGAGAGCAGTGATCAAAACACAACCACCGAGAGTGAATCAACGATTTCTGAGCGAGCAAATGATATTGTTACAACTGCATCCATTTTACCTGATTTCATATCGTTGACAAACGATGAACCAGACAAATATAAGCCAACACGATCACCATCGCCCATTTCGGCCGATTCAACGACAAATGCCAATGAAAAAAGTGATGCCACAATCCATCTCACCCAAAAACACTGCAAACATTTGCTATCGGATAGTGGACATCAATTTTTACGTGACAGTGAAACCCAGTTCAATGTATCGGTACGTTTGGAATGGCGACAATTTGGAAATGTTTTGATTGTCAATGGTATCGCAAGTGATCAACAAAATTTTCATAATGTTTTAAAGCAATTCTTTAATACAATTGAAGTGTCGAAAAAATCAAGCAGTATCGTTCAACTACCAAAAAATCGTGTCACATTGATCAATTTTGTTCGGAATCAATTGGCTATATTGGATTCACCAACATGCAATGTTAGTAGACTATGTGATGTTCATACGATTTTTCATCGAATACGCGCAACCGAAAAGAATCCATCGAAGGCAAACGTTAAAAAAATTGGTAACTTGCGTAAACACTTAAACATGATCATATTCGGACGATATGGCTTGGGCGATGGAAAGCGTCATTTGTTTGATTTGCAAGAATGTGTACGTGTCATTAGTCAAGAGACAGCAACAAATGTATCCATGGAAATGCGTCAAAGAATGAGTGAACACATTGATTACATTTTCTCCAGCAACGAGCACACAAATTATGCCGATATGATTGACCAATATACTCAATTGAAACGGGACAAAGCATTGCCACCATTACTTTTGGATCGAAAACTATTGGGTCTTAAAATCAATGTCTACCATCCATCAGATGCAAATGGTTCGAATAACACAAGAAAGAATTCTTACACAAATTCACCACATTCACAAACTTACGACAAAGGAATGGAATCATCAACGTCAAGTAATTCAAAGAGTGAAAACAATAAGACAAACAACAAATCACATTCAATGCTCGATATTCAGATCAATGTTTCAACACCATCTACGTCATATCATCAAAACGAAACGATGCATCGTAGCAACAGTTTCTCGTCCAATCGGGATCGACCGCTTGACAAGTGGAAATATTAGTTTATAGTGCTGTTAACATAAGTAGACAAAATGTTCCCGAATATTTAAAAGTTTGATACTTATTGGATTGAAACATTTACAAAATGCAACATATTCTTTTGGTATTTAAAATTGAGCAAAAAGTGATTATAACAATAAAAAAAAACAAGCTAATCTTTGAAAACAACTTTCCATGTTATTATTGTGATGGTTATAGTCAATTTCAATGACTTAACATTACCTCAAAACTAAAATAAAGACATATTATTGGTTCTTCTTCTTTTTTTTTGTTTAATGTCATTAACAAGTGGCTTTTTATTTTTTACTTAAATTGCTTCATTTTAAGTTTTCATTAGGTGAGCCACCGATACCACTATGCATTCATACTTACCTGTATTGACGTCATCAAGTTTAATGCGTGTGTAACTAAAAATAACCGCTTTTTTTCATCATTTCTTCAACAAAAAAAAAGTGAATGAAACGTATTCGAACAATTTTTTGCTTGAATTTTTATCGTATGTTTTTCACTTTATTTTGTCCAACTAAATAAATTACAGCGACAATCTTACAATGAGTTTATTAAATAGTCTCTATTTTTAAATTTGGTTTGAGTTTGAGTTAAAATTCACATAGATTGACTTGACTGACTAAATACTATTTATCGATAATTTCCAGTGATGGTTTTTTCCTATCTGAATAGCGCTAGCTATTCGCAGCGCCTGTACAGCATTGCTGCCCAGATGCTGAATCGTAGCGGTTGCCGCACGCGCAACACACTTCGCTTGTACCACACAGAGCATTATACGTTCGCGTTCGTTCTCTGTTCGACATGCGTTTGTATACTGACTATGGTATTAGTGTATCATACTCTGTGAGCTCACTGGTTACTTAGACTATATGACAATATGTTGTGTGGTACAAAACGCGTGCGGCAACCGCTTCGATTCAGCATCTGGGCAGCAATGCTGTTCAGACGCTGCGAATAGCTAGCGCTATTCAGATAGGAAAAATCCATCACTGATAATTTCATTTTGTTGTAGATGCCAAAATGTTTCATTTTTCAACCAATTTCTTTCATTCAGTTCAAATACATATTAATTGTTTGCTTACAAATATGCTTACGAATGGTTTAAGACAATTCTTATTTCACTTAGCAAATCACTTACAGAACAAATTTATATTATTTGCCGTTTTTTTTTATTTACATTTACAAATTTTCAGCTTCCACCTGATTTTGATCTACAAATTACATGTTCTGTAGCTTCCTCTATCTCTCTTTCTCGTTTGTAATCTCAGCCGGCGGCAATATGTCTTGTTTATAAGACGTTAAATTCCACACAAAACTGAATAAATCATTTATGCAAAATGCATTTCCAAAATTGAAAAAAGAAGATTCATTTAGTTTCATATAAAAACACATTTAACAAAAAATGCTTGAAAAAAAAATCCATAGATTGAGTCATTTTGAGTGGCATTTTCAACTGAGTTTTGCAAATTAACATTAAAAGTGAAACGGTTATATAGATTTCTCCTTTAAGAATTGTCTCATTAAAAAAATTAAATTCCCATGGTTGGTATTGAAGTGAATAAAAAAAATGAGTTTGAAATGTTATTGGCAACGAAAAGAAAATCTAATTTTCATTCACCTGAATCGATTTTTGACGTAATCATTTCAAGTTACGCTGATCTCTTCATCGGAATTCGAATCGAATTCGTCATAGTAATAATTGGACATGTTGCCAACATTTTCCGAACGATTGCTGAACGCAACGGAATTATTGATGTCGCGTACTTTATCATAAAAATGATTAAAGATTTGTTGTTGTTGTGGTGGTGGTGCTGTTGATTCGCGTCGATTCTCTTCATTTGATGATGCGCCCAAGTGTGATAAAATTGCTTGATTGGCATTCGGCATGAATTGATCGACAAATGGATGATTTGATTCATTCATCGATGCGCCCTTTTCAATCTTAAATGGTTTTCCATCTTTGCCATTACAGCCATTCGATAGAATTACATTCGATTTACTATGCAATTCCAAGCCGGATTTACTTGTTGGTGTCATATTTGAATTGGTAAAATGGTCCAGATTTTGTGATGACTGCGATTGATCCATAAGAGTTGAATTCGGTGATGCTGATGTTGGCGAAATGGATGGTTGACGGTCCGTACGTGCATCGGATAAATCGGGATTTGGATTATTCTTATTGGGTAGCGTCTGATCGCGACTTCCGCCACTTGCCAAAAGTTCGCGTTCTTTGGAATTTCGCCATTTCATACGACGGTTCTGAAACCAAATTTTCACCTAAAATCGAAAAAAAACACACAATACATTTATTATTTTTATATTTATTCAAACAAAAAAAGGAAAAACAAAAAAATTCTCTCAAATAATTATTTTTTTTTTTCTGATTGAAGTGAGCCACTATTAGTGACAATTGCGCAAGGCTAACAATGTGATATCCATATGTATTCAATTGAATTAATTCAGTTAAAATACAATATGTTGCTAACATATTCAATTTGGACCGTTTTCACGGCCTTTTTACTTATATTTCGTTTTCTTTATTCGTCACTCTTTTGTTGAATTGTCATTTGCCACTGGGCATTTAAAGAGAAACAATGTAACACAATAAAAATTAAACCATAACAAAAAATTTGTCAAAATTCATCGATCATTCGATTGAATGGCGCAACAAAAGCGCAGTCATTCACAGAGCACAGAATAAAAATGAATGTGTTTCATAATCGGTATGACACCATCAGTGTTCATAATCAAATGTATGTGATTAATAGCTGGACAGAGTGAAGAGAACGAGAGAGTGCGCCACAACAACAATTACACTTTGTTCGGCAACAATAATCAACTAACCAATCGATCAATTTTCAGCCCGTGCCTAATTTCTGTCTGCATTTCTAAATGTCCGTAAAAATTTAGATATTTCTTTTTTTGCTTTAATACAGTGTGAACCAGAGAAGCAAAAAAAAACAGGAGACATTTATTTTTCACTTTAATGATTAAAAATAATGAAAATGCATGGTTTCTACAATTGAATTTATATTCAATGAACGCATCCTGATGTGGTCGCATTTTAACCGATCATTGTATGTGATGGAATCAGAGAAAAAAACACATATCATCAATTCTCATCTTGTTTCCCCATTCAAACATTTTCGGTACGGTAAAATCAAAAATATACGCAAAGAAATCAATCAACGCACAAATTGAATGAGTTACTTTGAATAACATTCACCGGAACTACTTTAGATACGCATGCCATATCCTTTCAAGAGCAGCTACACAACAACTCAGTTAATCACTCATCATGCAGATGTGTGAAAATAATTTCGTCACCAACTACGTCATTGCGGATGCATTTTGCATCGGTATCCCTTTTAAACATTCACCATTTTCTTTTTCGTATTCTTCAATTGAATATGCTTTCGTAGTGTTAAATATTTTGGTATACACTGTATGTCCACAAAAGTTGAAATAATTTAATATTATTTTTCTGCATTCAACTTTAATTCAATTGACAACTTCTTGGTGTGACTTGAAGAAGGCGGATACAAACCATTGAATTTGAAATGTGACGAGTTTTGTTTGTGTGAAAATGAGCAATGAATATGGATGCCACAAAGGAGAGAGAAAGAGTGAAATTAATTAAAATTCACATAATTTGCCATGCATTAAAACCATAAATGTTTCATTCCATATTGATATATAATATATTATATTGTTCATGAATGCTCCAGATAAGTTCCCATTTAATATAAATGCACACGATTGAACGACAAAAGGAACAAAAGCGACGTGTCAATGGATTGGATACATTATTAAAATTATAATACAATAAACACCCAACATCTACAATAAATTCATTGAGTCTCAAATCAATTACATCGGCAATAAAATGCACGACGAAAGAGACAAGAGAATGAGTGAATGCGAGAGAAGGAGATATTTATAGATTAATATGACGATTTATTTGGGCATTTGATGAAAATCAAAAAGCGATACTGTAAGTACGATATTATTCTCTCTCGCTTACACACACACACACACGCACACGCTATTTCACTTCATTCGATATCGAAAAAGACCGCAGGGAATTTTGAGCGCCTCCGGAACAAACAAGAGGGTTCACAACCGATATATTCATATTATTCAAATTGTTTGTGTAAATTGTTGTGGGTGATTTGCTGTGTGTGAACCATAGACACTCGAGTGATTTTGTGACTAAAGGCAGCTAAAATATGCTTTATGGACGATGCCGCACAAAAAGCAATGTGCATGATACTAGCAACATCCGACAACATGATGCGAGTGATAAAGAGAGAGAGCAAAGAAAATTGGTATGCATTAAGTTTTGGATGAGAGCGTATAATGAATGTATATAATTCAAAAACAGTTACATGAACATCATGGAATTTCCCGCCTTTTTCCAAAATGTGTCAATTGCAGGCATCCACTATTTTCGGTGCGTCACACCACTGTATGCACACGCTCATACACGAGACAGTAATAACAACAATGACAATGAATTGAAAAAGAGACCGAGAGCTAACACACACACACACACACACACACACACACACACAAAGTGGAAAACCCCAAATTTGAAAATGGCCAGAAAACAAACTTTTATAACACTCTCTGGCTCTATCTAAATTATTAAGCCGAAACGATTCACAAACAACTTTTCCACCGAAATGAACCTTTTATTTGTCTCTGTACGCGTGTGTCGCACGCATTCCTTGTTTTGTTGCATAAAATATGTAATAAAACCGCAAAACAAATGACAACACACACACATACAGAGAGAGGGAGAGAGAGAGAGAAAAAAAATATATCAAACAACAGATCGCTTTGGATGTTTTCGTCTCGACTTAAAACAATGCTTAAATGGACGATGGTGTTGATTTAACCAATGCGATAAGTGTGATTTCATGCTGATGACAAAGTGTGAATGAACAAAGAACAAGCATATCATAATCCCGTGCAATAATAATAAGCGAATACTTTAAATTGGATTTTTGGGCTCATAAAGTTCAAATGAATAAAAACCGGCTATTGTGTTTGAATTAACCATTGTGTGTGTGTGTTTTTTTTTCGTTGCTCTCTCTATTGCGGGCACAATCATTTTTATGTTTTTATCGTTACCAAAAGAGATAATTGTTTAGATTAAAATGTTTGTTGCTGTGGCGACGGTAACAAGTTGTCAAATGAAATGTTCAAGGATTGTGGTGTGTGTGTGTGTGCGTCGAAAGTTTTTGATACAGCCGATCGATTCACATAATGCCGTTTCTAACAAGGCGTTCGATATAAATGTTTGTTCACAAGTTCTACATTTTCATTTATCACTTCCACCATATGTTCTCGAATCGTTTTCTGTTCTTAAAAGTAACATCTTATTCTATTGCTAAATTTGTTACATAATCACATACACAGCACAACAGTTGTGTCTGCATATTCAGACGATTGATTTTCTCTACAATTTCGCTCATTTCACTCTCTCAATCTGTCGGTGTGCGGAAGAAGGTTTTTCTCGCCTGTTGTCGATATTTTTTTTTCCTTTTTCTTCTCTCTTTCTCTTTCATTTTGTCGGGCTGTTCCTGAATGGAAAATTGGTGTGCTATTTCGAATAAATTGTTCTTAGTCCAAACGATTTGCGCGAAATAGAGATGATTTTCTCAACACGCACACAACAAATCCACTCGAAAATCGTCGAAAAAGTGTGCACACACTTCGCTCATCGTGTCTGTGTGTGGATGTGTATACAGCATGCAATTGTCTATTTATCAGACGTTCGTGCAGCATATGTTTTTGATGGGCCAAACAAGATCGTCACCCCGTCTTTTTCGTCGACATTACCATCGTCGTTGTAGTCATCACATCAATGCCATCGTCGCCGTTGTCGTCGTCATCTCACCGACGTCGCCAATGCAGTTACCGTTTCGTAACAATCATTTTGTGATGCTTTTAAAGCGCAAAACAATAATAATAAAGGAAAATGTTTACGAAAATTGTTCAAATAGTATTAAATCGATCGATCGTCAAACGATTTTTTGCTTGCTCAACAACCGATATGCCAAACCAAAAATTGAATATATGCGAACACAAGTCATTTTACAAAATGTTCACAACTATTTACATTGCAAACGAAATGTGACACTTTCATTCGATCATTATTACTATCGTTGTTTGTGCCAAACTAAATGGATAAATATTTTGATAGTATCCATCGTCGAAACCAATTTGTATTGAATAATGATGAATGCTTTGATGAAGCATTTCAACATTTTATTTATAATCGTTGTAAAACCATTAAAAAAAAGGAAATTCAATATTCTGGTCATCGTTGGCGCAACAACAGCATTTGTATTCTGGTCTAGAAGAAAATTTCGATTGTCAGAAGAAATAAAAAAAAAAAAAACACAACCCACCGAAATCGAAATTGAGAAGATAAAGACGGAATATAAAAAAAACGTGTATTGTTATTTATTATGAACGAGTGCAGAAGATGTTGAAGACGAAGCAATCAGGCATCAGAATGAACGTAATGTTGTGTGTTGAAATAAAAATTGAGAGAATAAACGAACGAACATCGGGGTGTATAATTCGATACTCTGCAAACATATTAAATTGGTAGCAATGACGTTAGCAGTAACATTCTGTGCTAATGACTGTTGAAGAGAATAACAATAAACGAGACAAAGACATCTAAATAAAAGTTACGCAAAGAGAAAACAATATGTTTCCTTTTTTTACCAAGGCGTTGGTGTTCATACCGCACACATCTTTTGCTTTCCACATTGTGTTCGCATTATTATTGAATTCGAGAAAAAAAGTAAATACTCCGTTAAATTGATTCAAATGATATTTATATGTGGAGCGTTTAGTGCTACTGATGCTTCATACATACATTTACACACACACACACACATTCGGCATTACGATGAGGGCCAATAGAAGGGGGTTGAATAAAAAAAAACTCAGAGAAATCAAATGGAATGGAAAACACAATGCACACAACACAAATTATATGACCGTTTCGATTGATATGCCCGTTGATGTTTGATTACAGATAGTTATGATGATGACATGTTTTATTGTGCCGAGGGTGAAAAAGCAGATTAGCCTTCGAGGATGATTGTTTGCATATTGCGTTAAGTGTGCTGTGCAACAGTTCAAACATTTGCATCTTAAATTCGTATCATAAGCATCATCAAACGACGGTCGTCGGTTTTTTATATATTATTTCGATTTGAATGTTTACAACAACGCAAATCCCAAGATAAACATGCTCTGAGCAAAGACTTCGTTGAATTAACGCAAGTCCCTTGATGACGATGATGATGACGACGACGATAATAATTAATTTGCCAAACTTTTTTGTTCGCCTATCGCGTTTTGATTTGATTATGAATTTATTGGCCGGATAATCAATTAGAAGAATGACTTATGAATTGGCTTGTTTGTTTAAGGCGAGATCAAATCAATTGATTGAATAATTAATTATCGTTGTGTATCGGCGGGGATGGAAATTAAATGCCTCCCACCAAAAAAAAATGCTCTTTGAAAATGAGCCTTAATCGATTTCCTAATCGTTTTGCCTTAGAAGATGAAACTTGAAGGGATCCGCATTTTTATTTACGTGGTTGTTGTTGCTTTTTCTTTTTCGTAACGTTTTTCTTTTCAATTTAATTCCGTGTGCGTGCGGATTTTTCACGTACACATCGTACATTCTTTCGTCGACATATAAACACAACAATCATTCTTAATGTGAAAAGACTGCAATTGACAATTGTGACCTTTCGATTAACAATGAAAAATGAAGGATAGAGGAACATTTTACTGAGGAACTGTTTCTTTTAGTTGAACGAGCAATCTGCCCCCATTTGTGCCTTTGTAGATGCTGTTTGATTTCTGCGTTTAAAAATGCACAGGCAACCGTACACCAGTATTATATATATTTGGTTCGTCTTTCACCCTCAAATCGATTGGTATGCGTGTGTTTGGGCACTGTGATGTACTGACGCTGTTCAGGAGAGTATGTCACAACTGTATTTGACGTTTTAACTTTTTGAAGTTTTTGTTTTTCCTCGTTCTTCCAAACGCAAAATCAACGCACAATGCCGAATATACATCGAAAGCAAACAGTGAATATTACATCGTCGTCGTCATCATCATCATCAACATAGGCGATTGCCATCGTTTGTCGTTCAACCATATCACATCGTGTGCTTTGCTTAAACGGTCCTATTTTTCAGATCAATAAATTTTTCGGCAAATCATGGAATAAACGAGTCTCACAACGAAAAAAAAAATCACGCAATTCAACGGCCACAAGGAATACGGATGAAGAAGACGAATAAAAATACATGAAGAAAGAAAAACACGAACATACATAGCAACAAACATATATCGGTGTACGTAATTGAGTCGATGTGAAGTGGATTGCGAAGTGTGCGATAGAGTGTCTCAGCAAGATGGAGGCAGAATGGAGTGTGAGCGAATGCCGTTATAAATAGGGATAATGTTTTATGCATACAGATATAAATTTAAGCAATGGGATTATGATTAGATTTCTTGCGGTAAATATTATTTATCTAAGCGAGTACTTCAATTTGAGATTATTCATTCATGTAAGAAAATCGGGTAAACGATCTGTATACTAGTGCGATATAGAGTGAGAGTTGAAATGTGGATTTTTGGTGGTCGCTTTTTTCCTTGTGTTTGCAATAGTCGTTACGCACACTCAAATTCTCACTCTTACTCTCCCTTTCCTCCCCCCCTCTCTCTCTATCCTCCTTCTATTCTGTACTTCTCTGGGCATGGGCACCGCTTTTTATTATTATCGCCATTCAGATTTGACTGGTAAATTGTTTGAATGCATGTTGAAAATTAAAGCGATTATTCGATTGGTTTGTTTATTGCTCTTGGCTGTCGTTTGTTGGACTTGATTATTTTAATCGTTCCCTTATTTCATTTGGAGCGAACCAAAGCGTGTGCCAAACCAAAACCACACCAACATTTCGGCATTACACTTCAGATTTATTATAACTGAATTGCTCGAAGGCTACTACTCAATTAACTATGTATTTACAAGCTGAAATAAATATCAAATGGGCAAAACGTTTTTCGGATTTTCCGCATTCAATGCATTATCTCGACAAGGGATCAGGAAATCAATCGCATTTGTGGCACAAACACAAGCCGAATTGAAAGGAAATTGAAAAGATGTCTTCATTCACACAAAGCAAAATTTAATTAACTCGAATCGTATCGCATTCAAACATTTTTTGTTTTCCATTTCTTTGAAAAGTTTCCGTATAATATAATAATATATTCAAACTTTTTGTTTTTAAATAAAAAGTTGCGATTCAACTTTGGACTTTTTTCCTTACTATTGTTACGATATAAAAAGGTGAATTTGAAGAAAAAAATGCGATTTTTCACATTACATTGGAACGAAGTGTATGAAAATCATTTTTCATTCCATTTTACGCTTTATCTAGACAATTTCTTTCAATTTGACAAATGCCAACGAATTATAAAACCCTTTATGCTAGCTGAATTCATATTTTTTTGCTGCTCTGATTCAATACAAAAATATGATTTTCATAATGAAATGAATTCCGTAATGCATATTTATACATATACATACATGTATATATCATATTTTTTAATACAATTTTCGTTCTCACTGATCGTTCTCTACATATTCTAAATGATGGATGAAGTGTATTCATACAGAACAAAAACCGAAAAATTGGAAAAAAAATGGGATGGATCTAAAATAATAAGGGTTGTGTACGGCATTGCGTTTATATTCATTCGTAACAAATACGAACACACTCTGCACGGTACTGCACACATTTCGTTGACGGGTAGTATGCTACGTTTCGACACAGAGAATTTATACGATGCGTATATATATAGGCGTCTGCGCACTTAAGATGCTGGGATGTGGCCTTTTGTATGCCAAAAAGAAGAGAAAAAAGCCATAAGCGTAACAATGAAAATATTACTGCAAAGTAAAATAGAGCATTGTTTACAGCAAGGCGGAGTTTTTTCCGTTTTTACGTGATTTTTTGTTGTTGTTTTCGTGTATTCGAAATTGTATTCGTGCTTTTGGCTTTTGGCATTCCGTTTGACCAGCACCCTTTTTGGCGTCCTGTTTGATTCATGTCAATCATCTCACATCATATTTTTCATGGTAAACATACACATCATTTTATATAACGATTTTTTGCGCACCGTCGATAATAACCATAATTGTTATGGTTTTCAATGCATATCTTAACTATCTTTAGCTACCGATTGGATTTTTTCGGTTCGAATCTCTCTCTCTCTCTCTTTCTATCACTATCGTTTATGTTCCAAATCGATTTAACGCTTTTGCATTAGATGTCATTTTTACATATGTATGTATTGAATGTATATTGAATACGAAAACCAATCCAAAAGGAAAAAAGTATGCGAAAAAAAAATAAATTAATTTACCTGTGAATCCTTAAGGCCAAGTCTTTCGGCGAGTTTTTTGCGATCCGGTTTGCTAATGTACTTCTGCATTTGAAATCGTTTTTCAAGCCCTTTTCTCTGTGAATCTGAATCAATCAATTTTTCAAATCATATAAATTCGAATGGGAAAAGAAATTCATATTGAATAATTCAAGCATGACTAGATCATTTACCGGAGAAAACAGCTCTTCTCATCATTCCCCGTCGTGGTTTACCGCGTGTCGAATGCGCCCATGGAAAACCTTGGCCAGGTGGTAAAGGAAATACTTGAGGTCCAGCGCCTATTTTGTTTTTTGTTTTGTTATTCAATCAAAAGAAATTGTGTTTTAAAAACGGTAACGATTTGATTAAAATTATTGGTAAACATTTTTTTTTTGTTAACTTACCAGCTCCAATATAAGGATTTCGGCAATGGGCCAGTAAAGAATGTAGATGAGGATGACTTAATGTATGGTGCAAAAATGGTGGAGCTGGTCGACTCGCCAATGGTTTTGCAATCAATTGCTGTTGTTGCTGTTGTAACTGTTGTTTTTCCCTAGTGAACGGAATACATTGGAAGTGATTGAAGTTATGAAATTACTTTGCTTTTTGCACATATCGTATGACTTTTAATCATGAGTTTTTCAATATTCAATGTTTGTTTCTTCGAAATCATTCAAATCAAGTCATAGCATATTTTTTTCCGATCATTATCTTGATTTGAAACGACGACAAAACAGCGTGAAGTACATTGTTTAATGCATGCTTTAATGTTTGCTACATTTTATGCCTACCTTAATCTATTTTGTTGTTCAGCATCCTGAATGTCAGAGCCAATGGGCGTTGTGTCGGCATTTGTTCCGTTTGCATTATTGTTAAGACTACTGCTATTATTATTGTTACTGTTCGATAGATTGTCGATTTCATTGTTACTACTAATTGGTGATGGCACATGCTGATGATGATTATGCTGCGGTTGCTGTTCTTGATGTAAATTATTGTGGTTATTTTGCTGATGATTATTGTTTGTGACCTGAATTCAATGCACGAGAAAAATAAGGGCACACAACAAAAAGTCATTTGCAGATTTTGCCATCAGGAACATTTTTTTTTGTTTGTGTTATCAAAAGTGTGTGAACACATTGTTGCAATTAATGTAATTGAATTAGAATTCGCAATTGAGCTTACATGAAATCCTTGGTAATGAACTTGTGAATGATGGTGCATGAAATTTTGCTGAATATAAGGCCAAATATGTTGCGGTTGAAGAAACTCTGTGTGCACAAAATTGAAAAAAATAAATAAAATAAAATAAAATAAAAGAAAGAAAGTTTAGTACATTTATTCAAATTAAAAAGTGAGAATAATCTTTGGAAGGCATTCAGACGGAATTGATTCAAATTTGGTTTGTTTAACCAACAAGAAAAATGGCCGAAGGATAATTTACGGAGCAAATTACGTCTCTCCATCCCTCTCTCTCTCTCTCTCTCTCTCTCTCTCTCTCTCACTCTCCACCCATCTACTGACTTGTTTCGTTCTCTTACTATGTGCAAAGTATTTCCTGATTTCAAACTGCGTTGAGAAGATGATGCGTGTTGGAGTGTAAATAAAATCATATACGAAATAAAATGCGATACACTCGAATGAATTCAAAGGTGTTTATGTGCGGGTGTCAAATAGATGGCGGAATTGAAATAAATAAATATAATTGTTATATTTCACCTTCAGTGTGTGTTTGTTGCTTCGATGGTGCTTTTGTGCCGTCTCCCACGAATCATATATTAATTAATATTCCATTCTCACGCACCGCATATCGTCACACACATGTTTTGTGCACAATTAACGCAAAACACTTATATTATCTGCATTACTGTTTTATCTCGAATTTCAATCATTCGGTTGAGGCGAGCAAAAGTGTAAACGTTTATGCATTCATAAATTTCCATATCACATATTTTACGTGCAACAGTAAAAGTGACGGTCCTGGTTTATGTATGATTAACCTTTTCCCAGTGTATTATTGTACATTTGCATGCGTGTATTTTGTGTTCAAAAATATTAAATATGGTTTGCCAGTGAAAAGGCCAGAATATGTGAGGAGAGAATGTGTGTGTGTGTTGTGAATGTTATGATTTCAGATTTTCATGGTGAAGCGAGAGAGACTGGTCCAGTGTTGAGAAATTCATTAAATCATTCGGATGCGTTGCACATAGGCTCCATCGAATCACCATTGGTTGTTTATGCTTTTGTGTGTTAAACGATGCTTTTCGAACACAAATGACATATTCAACATATGAATGCCTCAGAATTGCTTTAATATATGCAATAGATGAGCAGATTATCAACACTCGTTCATCACTCACACCATTCGTTTGCCAACTCACGCTCTCAATTTATAGTTGAAATGAAAATGTGTGTGTGTGTGTGTGTGTGTGTGTGTGTGTGTGTGTGTATAGAGCAATATTGTAATTATACATTGATAAAACAATTGTATGTGCAAGATGAACAGAGGAGCGCGCGTGCCAACAATTATTATCAAAACTCTTAATAACTAATAATAAATAATGTTTGTTTACGATTTCATCGAAACGAACAAAAGCCGATTGATCCATTAGAATGCACAAGGTTACACAATAAATGTTCCGCGCAACAGATGAACTTGCCTATCAACGAATTCATTCAAATTTACAAACTTTGTTGCTGGTGGACTTTTTATGTTTGTTTTGTATTTTTTCTTTGCTGAAATTAGAAATCTTTTCAATTGAGGATTTTTCCCAAGTTTCTGTTTACATATATACTTGGAAAAAAATGCGCAGTTTGAATGCCAAGAAAATTGGAAAAACAAAAGTGTATGCCGTGCATTACTTAATAAAATCTAATTGCCCATTTCAGTAACCAACGTACGATGTGAAAATATGAAATTTGATCGGCTGAAGGAATCGTTTTCAAACATTTTCCGACGATAAGAAATCGAAAAAAAAGGAAATGTTTTTTGATGGTGATTGCCTGTATATTGCCACTCAGTCGTTAAGTTGGCGGAGAGTTTTGGTTGTTTGATACGCTTCAAGCTCTGCATCAATCTCGTTTAACATTCAATGAGATTCAAATCGACATTAAACACACTTGCCACTTTTATGGACACCTTGTTTGCAATCTATGAACTTAAATGCTCATCAACCAATTCGATCGCTCATTCTTTTTATTGGCTCACAAAATTACGGGCCACATTGGCCTTGTTCCGTCTTTAAAGCGTTGTTCATTTTTTTTTCGCTCCCTTCTGTTCGGTATCTTGGCAATGTTTTCAATGTGGCCCATTTTGGCCAGATAAAAGTTAGTTGACATGTGAAAAGTTTCACCCACATTCCATTTTTATGTGCAAAACATAAAAACGTGATCAACTTCAGTGGCATCAACTCCTTTCATTGCTTTTTTTTCTCGCTCTTCTACTTTATTCTCTGCTTCGCACTCTGTTTCGCTTTCTGTTTTGTGTTGCTTCCTCCTTTCATAACATTTTTATTTGCAAATAAAAGAACATGATGATAGCATCAAATTGAAAGTGAGATTGTTTGATGAACTTCGTCATTTAAGCGCCATTCCATCGAAATCGATGGTCATTTCAATGGAAAGTGATGTACGTCGAATATGCATTTAACTTTTGAAAAATGTGAAGTTTGCAAATTGAATGCAATAAATGGCGCTCAACAATTGCTACAAAGTGTTTTCCAATGCATTGTTTTCAATGTGCTCATACAAATAATTTGCTAGTTTTTTTTTCTTTCTGAACTAAATATATTCCACATACTTTTCTTGGCATATTACAAAAAAGAATGAAATTTCATACGATGTCATTTAAAAAATGCTATAGCAATATACAATGTATACATAATCAAAAATTGCCCACATTCATCAATTTTATTATTGACTTACGATTGAAATTGAAAAGTTCTTGCACTGAAACATTAGTCGGTACCGATATTCATGTGAATAAATCGGTGACAATAAACGATTTTTTTTTGGTAAAAAAGGCAATTTCGTTGTCGAAAAATGATTTAATACGTATAATTTACGTGTGCCGTACGTCCCACAAATTAATGAGATTCCATGTGAACAAAATTGACAATAGTTAATTCAATAGTGTTTCCAGAAGTAACAAAAAATGCCAAAATCACCCCAAAAATTGAACATTAATAAAACATTCAGTGCGTGCGCTACTGTTTTTTTTTATTGATCGTTAATAATTATTCACTATTTACGTATTGCTCACAATAAAAAAAGAACTTTGCTATTAACAGACATCAATAACAATGTATCAATAAATTCACAAGAACATTGGGTGACCATTCAATTCAACTATGTATGTATCGTACCTGAGCTAAATGCGCATTTCTCAAACTGTGTGTGCGGTAGTTTGGCAGACGTTTAATGTGCATGGATTAAGAAATTGCTTTTCTAACTGAATTAAATCCAGGGGCAATGTATTTTGTACACACACACACACCAAAAAAAATAGACACTATTTTTCTGTTCTTTCCACGTCTTTCATAGATGCTATATTACGCATTCGCGATGAATAAGTTTGAAAAATACACTTTAGGCAATAATGAACCTCATTGGAAAAGAGCATTCATGTTACACGCAGAGAAAAAAAAACCATGAATCCCACAGTGAAAAAAATAGACGATAGAATGATGAACCGACTAAGGATTTGAACGTACGTTTAATACGCATCGATGTTTAAGCACATGATCACACAAATTATTTATGTTTTTACAGCCTACTTGTGGGCTTTGTACCGGCTTACTTTATCCAACAACGAGATTCAGTACAAACAATGGATCATCACATTCCATTATTTTCATCGACATCGTCTTCTATCGTTGTTGTTTTTTTTTTTTTGTGCAAACCAGGGTTTATATGAAATTGCGCCTTCCATCTTCTGCACATGCATTTTTAACTATCTCTCAACTCGACATTGTACATGGTAGGTCTTTGTTAAACCATCCCAACATGCTCAAATATATTAATGTATCCGAATTGATTGTTGTTTATATTTTGTATTTTTTAAACATTCATTTCGTTATTGTTGTTTTTTTCTCGTCGTTCGGTTCGTATTTCGGTGTTGTTGTACTTCAAACCAATAATCGTTATAAAATTTATTGTCATGAAAACGCCTATATTTTTGTTAAGGATTGAATGAGCCGCAGACGAAGAGCGTGAACCAAACAAAAGACGTACTAAATGGACTAGATATACGCAATGCATAAAAAATATCAGTTTGGTTCTGTTGTTTTTATTTCAATTTTAGAAATGTTATTGTTTCGGATCAACTAGGTTTATTTTCATAGTTTTTTTTTTAACTTTGTAGCTGGGTTTTTGTATGTTACGTGGTCGACAGTTGTTGGTTTTTGTGGTCGATTTTTTCGATTATGAATGGCATTCATATTGCTCTTACTCGACGAAATGAATTTATTTATTGCAATTGTCGTAAGGGTAACGATGATTGGCAAAAGGTCTTTCTATCTATTACATTCAATGGAAATCAACTTGTTTATATTCAAAGGCAACATTACATTCACTCTCTTCGCATATCTTTTACTCTTCCTTTACACGATCCTTTACTCGTTCATTTATCCTTTTTTCGTTCGAATTACATTTTTAAATGTAATTGGTTCTCTTCGCAAAAATATTACTTCGAAATTAATTAATTCGGAATTTTTCGCTTTTTTAGAAGAATAAATTAAAGAATTTTTGAAATAATTTCAATTTTTTCAATTATAAGAGTTGTTTCGATGAAAGTATTAAAGTTTCTTGAGAAACTTCGAACTCAATATATTTCAAATTGTTTTTACAGCATACCAAACATATGTATTTTTGGACCAATTCAGCGATTTTGAGAGCGATCATTCCGTCTCTTTTTTCAATTCGACGCAAACCAAAGCAAAATCAATAATTTCATTTGGCAATAATGATCAAAATGAAAATACGCAATAGAAACAAAAGAAGTAAAACTTTACTTACCGTGTCTAACTCTGGCACATTCCTTTTTATCACCTAAAATAGCTGACACACTAAATTTTAATATGGGTTTGGCATTGTCCTTTAAAATTGTGGTTGCGGTTTCCTTTTGGCTACTAATAACACCTTCATTGCTGTCACATTTATCACACTTGAAATCGGTATCGATATCGGCATTAATATCGTCACTACCTAATGCACCAAACGAAAAATGACAAATAAAACAAGAAAAGAAAATCTTTAAGTATGCAAAACATTTGATTCAACTTATTGAATTAACACTATTGATGGTTCATGCGTCAAAGAATGAAAATGTCGCATTCGAATTTGAAAATTGATATGTGTAGTGGTGATCGAATGAATAAAATTCGATTATCGCCAAAGGCCATTTTTTTTGGCCAACTTAAAGATACAGATATTGTGTATAATTTGTAATGTGTTTTATCCGTGTTTAATCGTACCACTGCCATTTGTACCGTTGTTGCTACGTGTTTTGTTTAATTGCTGAAAGTGACCGCACTTTGTACAACACATTTCGATGAAATGATTGCTTGCATCGTCGGAATGGTCATCAGATGTGGCACAATCACTGTTCCGTATCATTGTGTTGTATGTTCGCAATAATGTTTCCGAGAGTTGGTTTTGCGTGTTACCGGATGCTTGCTGATGTAGATGGTGATGATGATGATGGTGATGATAATAATGATGCGAAGGTGAGATATTTTCATTTGATTCGGGTGAACCGCACAACGAATCTTTTAAATCCGACGTCGCATCTGAATCCGTATCCGAAATTACTGAATCCGAACGATCTTCTTTATCATTTAAAATGTTATCCACTAAAAATGCAGTTGACATCTTATCAAATTTTCTATTATTTTTATTCCACCAAATTGTTTCAGAGAAACTAACAAAAATGATAAACAGTTTCTGCACCGAAACCAAATTGTTTTAATTTGTTTTGTAAATTTCATAAAAGTATGAATCAATCACTGGAATGCACTTTCTAATTCTTGATCCATTTAAATTTTCATTTGTTTCTTTTTATTTTCAATCACTCAGAACACAAATGTAACACATAAAGAGTTGATTTTTTTTATTTTCATTTTGTACAATTCACACAATTTTGATAATTTTCCACATGGTTCGATCACAGGTAAATCAATTAAAGCAATCACTTGAACTTAACTTCCGTAAGATCATTCGACAAACATTTAAATTCAAGTACATTCGCACCGGGAAACCGAAAATGATGAGATGAAAATATACACACACAGGGGTCGAACGACGTGTAACCAATGCGACATCATCCGTTCTACTGAAAATCATTTCAAAACGTTTCAAATAAAATTATGTCGAGCACACACAATGATGACGTCCGATGTTAATATCAAAAAAAGGTGGTTGCTCTGCGGGGAGATTTCACAAATTGCGAATGTGTTGATTGAAGAATGTATGTGTGTATGTGTACACTCGTAATTGTGTTTGTGCATTGCCGTGATTTTTTTCTCTCCCGTTTTATTCCTACTTCGCCTTTTATCCATTTAACTCAATCATCCAGTGGTGTACTTTCTCAAATAATATACGGCACACAAATACACTCATTCACAAATACACAGATACATCGACACACACAGAGACGTGCACCCTATTCGAAACATTTTTATTTATGCTGCAGCAGCATCTATGACGATTATAGCCAGCCGTATTATTATAACCAGAGTTTTATGAAATCAGGAAGAAGAGAAAAAAAAAAATAAAAGGAAAACGCAAAAGCCAGTAGTATGATTCATGCCTTTGAATATGATATCCGCCAGTTTTCTCTCTAAATTTTGTGGCGGATGAATAAAGAGCACAGTATACCGAATATACATACATAAACCCACCCTATTTTTCCTACCTTTTTATTTCACTTAAGTGAAATTTTTTTTGTTCTCTTCATTTCAAGCGCAGAAACGTGCTGTGTGTGTATGTATAGCGTTTGAATGCTTATGTGTATCATTTTTCTAATAAATGTTTTTTCTTGTGCTTTGCTCTCATATTTTCTTGCCGATTGGTCTCAATTGTGTAATGGAAAACTCTTTGCAAATCATCGTGTTGATATGCCAAGGACCAAAAATCGAATAACTCAATCGACACCAACTCAACAAAAGAAGATTCACTTGAACTTTTACAGCAACTCAATTTAATTAAAGTGTGGTTTCAATAATGTGTAATAAATCCATCATTTTTTTTTAATGGAAAAATCGGACATAAGCTCAAGTTTCGCGAAATTATCGATAGTACGAAAAGGCCAATAAAAAGAAATGAATTTCGATTAGAATTGTTGCGATAAGAATTGTAGAAAATCATCGGTGCATATATGTCATTGTTTTTGTCCGTGAGATAATCAACCAGCCAACATATACAGCCACGAATCACAAGTTTGCATTGAGAAAACGTATGAAAATTCGTCCCAAAAATAGAGAGGGTAAGGCGCGCGCACACACACTCTCTCACTTTCAACATCCAAATGCCTGAATGTGTATGTGTGAACCATTTGAGACACACATCAGTGTTCATCGAGCATATAAATTCTATTTAAGGAGATTTCTGCCGAAGAGGCGTGGTTAAAACGACTCGTGGCATATTTGCTGCTATCCTATGTCGTTGCCGTTGTCGCTGCTACTACCCAGCACGAGAATTACACAAAAAAAAAGAAAGGAAACAACCATACCGAATATACCGATTTGAAATAAAACCGAATGTTTTATTGCTTGGCCTTTTTTCGGAAAATTTTTCCCATTATCTGCTTCTTTTTTTCTCATTTTTTTTATTTAATTTTCATATTTGAATGGCCCCATTTGCTAAAGTCACCATCAGAGAGCAATTCAATGATTGTGGTGATAAAAAAAACTTGTTTATGATTATCGATTTAAATTTTCTCCTCGATTTTTATTCCATTTGAAATATATCGAATTGATTTGAATGGAGAACGGAAGAATGCGATAATAATAACAATAATAATAAACATAGAATTTTGATCATACGAAACGTGAATAAATCGAATGTGAAGTGAATTTGGATTTGGATGAAAATATGAACCATGATCGAAATAAAGAAAACAACAACGATGATCTCTTTGAATTTGATCGCTTTATTATAATAAAAAATGGCCGAAAATGCTTAAACTTATTCTTTGGTTAGTTTTTGCATTTTTTACATGTCTTTTATAGGTAGCAGGTAACTCTTGGATGAATAAGTGGATTAAAGGATCAGCCTTTAATTTGATAATAGTTTTTGTGTGTTAATTCATGTTTGTGAACCAAAATAGATGAAGAAAATGACAGGGATTATGTAAATGGCACATAGCCATACCAAAACGTTTGCTACTCAATTTTCAACATGGATAATATTTTATGCACTTTTTTCTCTTTCATTCTTTCGCTCATTTGCTCGCTCACTTTCTACATTTATCATGCATGCAAAAAAACTGACGTCAAAAATGAAATGCGAATGTTTACCACAGACGACCCGAGAGATTTTCTATATTGATCCAGTTTTCAGCCATGGCCGAAATGGTGAAAATAGAGCACACGGCACTCGACTTAAGGCAAGGGGGTTAACAACAGCCAGCTCTCTCATTCTTGGGAGCACCAGCAACCGAAAAATAAAATATGTATAATAAAAAAATGTTGAAAGAGAGAGAGAGAGGTATACAAACACACGCGAAAGAACCAAGCTCGAAGATAATAGTATTTGGTAGATTTGAGCGCAGAGGGCACAAAAGGGACAAAAATATATGTGTGTACGAATGTAACTGACAGCTCGATTGTCTGAATAATATGTTTTTTACGATGTTGTTGTAATGCCGTTTTACCGTTAACTGTGTAACTGCTGCTTTGCCGCTACAATCTCTTACTGCCTGCATACGAGATTTCACGATTTTCCTTTTCCCAAATTCTTTGCACCGCTTTTCTCAACTCTCCCCTTCTCCTTCTCTCTCTCTCTCTCTCTCTCTCTCTCTCTCTCTCTCTTCTCCACTCCCTTTCCCGCTCTGGTTGCCAGTTGAAATAAGCTACATGCTGTACATTTTTCGGATCTTTTTGCTTTGCTTATTTTTCGCACGCCGCGAAAATGAAAAATATGCTCACAATATTTACGTAAATAAAATTCACACTCGAAACGTTCACATAAAATACAATACCAAAGACCAAAAAATCATATCACAACAACAACAACAACAACAAAAACGTGCACGCTGCCAAAAGAATGGTGTAGAAAAATCATAATCATAATAAAAGTAATAAGCGAAGAATTGACGCAAAAAGGAAATAATAGAACGTCAGCATATCGCATCAAAACTCATCATAATGCAGACAAATATTTCAGACTCTTCTACCTATACAAATATATTTATGTATATCTTCGTCTCATGCTCAAAAATGTTATTCGTCTTATTATTTTGGTGGTAATAATGGTTTTTGTATGTACGCGTGAAAGTGTGTCTCTCTGTATGTGATAGAGAGAGAGAGCGCGAGAGAGAGTGTGTGTGCAAGTACTTTTGAACAGCAAAACATTTAAAATCACACCAAATATGAACTTGAGCTTCGCATCAAGGCGACAGTTGAAATTGCAGCAAAAGTTCTTGAGCACATCGGTGGTGCGTCCGTTGCTGCCACTGTTGTATGTGCGCATTCCAATACATGTGCATGAAAATTACGTATGAATGGCTATGTATGCATGCTTCAAGCTTGCGCTCACGCTCATAAACAGCAGCGCAAAACGGCACTTCAGATACGAAAGCAAATTATGGCTTGTTTGTTTTTCGTAAGCAAAGTTGGCTTAAAAGTTATAAATGTTTTATGATGATAATAATAATAATGATGATATAAATTATTAATGATATGGACTTATGTTCAACGCATATATACAATTTGGAGCACACACAACTTTGCTCCGTAAATAATTTCGTGACGTTTTATATAATAATAATAATATGAAAAAAAAGCGAAATATGAAAATTACAAAAATCGGGAAGAATACCGTCTGTGTCCCATAAATTAATGCAATTAAGGCATAAATTTCGATCAGAAATTCACAAGTTACAGAACAAAATGATTATAACAGCCATTGCGTATGGTTTATTTGCGGGATGGGTGTAAAAATACAATTAACATTGAATTGATTTCGAAGATGAGGAGTGTCAATAACTGACTTTTGAATTTATCACCTCTTTCCGCAAAATTTCGCATACGTTTTGTGCTTAACAGTATTCGTTTTGTCCTTTGTCTCATCCCAATCATTTTAATATCTATTCATAAAAATATCACCTTTTTAAATTGATATGCGAATAAAACTGGAACGCAATTGAAAAACAACATAAAGCTGTTAACAAAAGCCTCTCACACGCACTCACACACACCGTGTTTCAGTGTTCTCACATTGATTTAGTGGCTGTGCCAATGATTTTAAACCATGTTAAATGTTAAATGAATGTGTGAATAATGTAAAAAGTTTAATTTGTTTTTACAAGAAGTTTGTTCAAGTGTTAAATTTGATAAATTGAAGCAAATAACGCGCGCACTCGTTCGCGCCTCTCTCTCTTTCTGTTTCATTTAAACGAGAATGATGCGTGTACATGTGTGTATCCTTCTTGTGTTAAGATCCCACTTTTCTGAGAAGGAGAAAAAGAAAAATTGTGTAAAACGTGTTTGAAATAACAATGAATCCGCGTTGTATTGACTTAACAAAGGACAACCAAACAAAATAGCAAAAAGGCGCCAACTTCAAAAGAAAAAAAAAATTAATCAAAAATGCACACAAAATTATGTTCATTTCAATCAGACGTTTCACCTCTTATTTAGCACGCAGTGAATATAGTAAAAACGGGGAAATAACAAATTCTACCGACCGTCTAAATGTACACAGTTACTCTCAGTTGACGCATTCTATGATAAATTGCGATCTTGGCTGTGTTGTCATACGTAAAACAATTTATTTACATTAAACACAAATTGAATTCGT